AATGTTTTAGTAAATAATGAACACCCTAAGCTGTCTTTTTTTTTATATATCATATCTGTATCTTCAGAAACCCTGTGATTACCTTGATGATGGACAAGCACACATTCAATAAGCCTTCTGCTGCATATGCATCAAGGAATTTTATTGGCAAGTTCTACAAAGTAAAGAAGAAAAGATATGATACATATCTGATATTAATATACCTGTAGATACTGTATGATACTCTTGGTTGTACCTTTTTTTCAAAACCTATTTTTACAAAATATATGAAATAGGAATGCTATTTACTTACAATTGATTGCACTGGGCTGAGAATGTTTTCTGATCCAAGGACTTCTTTCAAAAGTTGCTCTGTAACTTGCTCAAAAGTTGAAAAAGCCTCCTGAAAAACAGTAACCAGTTTAAGCAGCTCAAATACAAATCCTAACATACAGTTTACATCACATAATAGAAACTACCATCAGGCCTGCTATACCTTGACATCACAACAAGATATGTAAGTAGACAATGCTTTGGCTGCATGTTCTCGAATGGTTAGTTGTGGGTGATACAATAATTTAAACACAACTGTGTGAATCTTCTCCGATATAAAATTTGGCACAGGTGGGATATCCTGCAATTGAAAAGATACACCTTTCAATTCATAGTCATAAAATTTTACATGTTATATCTACATGTACAACCAACTAAAAAAAGTAAAATTAAAGAATTCTGATTTTTACTAAAACAAAGTTCCTTAACTTTCAAAATCTGCACAAAATTTAAGAATAATGAGTTTTTCATCTGACAGTACACTGAACTCGTCTTAACTAGTCTCTCACTAACATTCTCTTTTTACAAAGATACATGTATTTCCATAATTAATGATCCAGTAATATCTTTCATAGATCTTTTCAATGCAACAATACTTCTTGAATGTAAAATGTTTGTACTCATTCTCTCATTGAATAGGATTGAAAAATGGCACAATTTCACAGTGAGCAAACACTAAGATATATATGTGCTGTTAATTTTTGTTAATTTTTAAGACCATTTACTTTCAGATACATGTTTGTATGACATATTTATATCAATAGCATACCAGTGACTGGGTATTTAGACAGAACTGTGGAGTGGTGGATCTAGACTCTGCTTTCTCCGTGTATTGTTGGACAATTGAATTGATACCTGCAGCACATTTAACAAAAGTTTCAATTATAAATACCACAGAGGGTTATTTCCTAATCAATACATTAATACATACCTAAGATAATCAACATCTCAATCAGTCCAATATTAAATCCTATCATTATTGATAAACTCTTTATAAGTAATTGAAACATTTAATAAATTCATTCATATTAACTTAACATCTAATAATCTTACCCATTATAGCACCCTCAACAGTCTGCCATTGGGAAGTTTCAGAGACACAGAGCTGAAGAGATCAAACTTATATTACATACATGTGGAAAAGAACAGTGTCATATAACATATGTATAGGATATACATGTAACTCATATTACATTCATGTGAAAAAGAATGCATATTACACATATGTGGGGATAAAACTCATTTAGCATATATGTGGGATAGAACTCACATTTCACACATATGAGATAACATTCATATTAAATGCATTCTGAAAATATATTAAATACCTTTACAAGCTCCTGAAAAGTATTCTCTTGGTCAGCGAGGGGAAGATATGATATAATTGGCCCTAAATTTTTGGCACAGGAATTTCGTATTGCTGACCAAACATCTGTTAATGCTGATACGATTAGCCTCTAAAAAATGATAAGTATAACATTGGTGATATTATTTTTAAAAATCTTTTTTCATTAACTTCTATAAATGTATCAGATTCATTACATAACACATTTAATTATTTGTATTGAATATTTTATCAATGAGGTGATTTTAAATATTCACTTATTTTTTTTTTTTTAAGAATAAAAATGCAATTAAAAAAATGGATACAGATAGTCACAAATTATTAATCATTATCAGAATCTAACAGAAATACATGAACAGAGAATCTAACATCACATAAATTTACTGATATATTAAACTATCAGTGTTTCAGAACACAAAAAAACAAGGATATAATATAAAAATATTAAACCTGTATTAATGGAATATGCTCAAAATCCTGAAGTTCTTCTTTATGTTCTTTAAGCCAGGCCATAAAATGAATAATTGTTCTGTTTCGGACAACGTGTACATCAGAAACTGAAATACAAGACGAGAAAAAGACATAAATATCCTAATAATTATCTGGGCATCATTTTTCTTCATTTGTTAAACTTGAATTTGACAGATTAGAACTATTTACATCACTGACAGAGATTCAGAGTTGATTTGGATAAACCAATGGTTGTCAGTGAAATATGAAGTTCTTGTAATTTTGAGTTACAATTCTAACATATTACACCTGCTTATAGGACAGATCATTTTAATATTTCTTATTAAAAAAAAGCCATGCAAGTGAGCATTGAGGCCTATCTATTTTGGGCTACACAACTACTTAGCCTATCTGGCAGGCTAACCACAAGAAAAAAATTTTGAATGTATCTGACTTATATATTATATGTATCTCTGCTTACCCTGCATAATTGTGTACTCAAATGCCTGGATCAACTGTACAGAGAGTGGCTGCTGATTATACCTATAAGGAATAAATGGATTTACCTGATAACTGCATACCATTCAAAGCAACAGACTGTCTCATTTTACCAAGCATTTCATATTTTAGCTAATATTCGTATAGACTGGGGGAAAAAAAAAATCTGGTCTATAAACCTGAAGTAGTCTTACATTTTAATTGGAATGAAAAATCCAGGATTTCTTGTAAGAAATCCGTGAATAAAGTTGCATATTTTTGCATTTGCATGGTTAAATTCTCATGAAAATTTTGTAAATGAATTAAAATTTCCACAAATTATAATATTAGTGTAAATGAAATTATTCAATCACTTTGGTTTCATGACACGACAAATAAGACATTTACTTCAAAGCAGGTGTAATCAGCTTTTTAAACCATTTATCATATTAATCTAGCTAAAAGGCCATTGTCCTTCTTCTTTCTCCTTCATACATCTCTCCTAAAGTAATGTCCTTGGCAATATGGGGCAAGCTTGAATTTTGCAAAAGCTTTTAATAATACAAATGATACATGTAGTATTTGTATGTATTTGAAATCATTCAAGTCCCTTGAGGATTCAGGGAAATCTTGTTACCTCATTTTAAAAAAAATTAATTAAATAGGATAGGATTTCTAACTTAAAACTATGCTTATTTCCTAAATATATTTTCTTTACTCTAAACTTACCATTTAATGATATTATCAAGGAGATCATTTAACACTGCTTTCACATGCCCATCACTGGCTTCCAGTGTTGTCCCAGTGCTGGACATCCTTCTAACTCGTCTCATCCCATCTATTCCTGCTTCTGACCATCCATATCTTCTATCAAACACATAACAAGTTAACTTATTAAGAACATCATCATTGGAAATAAGGGCCACTAGCTGAGACTCATGATGTGAGGAAGACATTTCTCCATATACATGGTGATTTCCATCCCCCTTCTGGAACCCCTTTCCAGTGTCATCAAGGTTGGAAAGATGCTTGTGGATGGATTTCAGCATGAGTTGTTCCTCTGAAGAGGATTTGGCTGACAACAAAGCAGTGGCACTGCTGAAAATTCCATCAGCAGCTGATGTCATATCTGTTTTGAGATGATCATCCTCATATCTCTGCAGTAAATAATACACTAGTGAATCAGTAAATAATAATCTCATCTTTTTACTGTCTACTACACAATATGCAATCTTCATAGGACACTCTCATAACTTCATATGTGAATAATCAAACACAACTCATTTACTAATTACATGTGGTGACTAATTCAGTAATTGTTCAAATTAGTAATTAGACTTCGCAAATGCACTTCAGGTTAGAACATGCTCATAGTATATGTAACAAACTCCCTGCTGAGTTATGAAAACTTATCACTGGGATTTAATGTGTGAAATATATTTCATTTACTTATTCTCGTACTTATCTTAAATTAAGGTCATACTTATTTCTCTCACTGGATTTATTAGTTGCTGTTACTTCTTTGGTTGTAAAATTAGTAACAAATCGAACGACGTTGTTTTCCGATTAAATGATTGTACTTGTTAAAAGTTCAGCCAGGATCTGAATTCATAAAATCAGGGAGTTTATTTAAAATTAAAGATAACAATATTCATCAGAGCAAATGTAAGTGAAAATATTACCTAAGATTCCTCTGAGAAAATTCGGTAAAATATTAGGTTGTTATAGACGCTTTCAGTCCTTGCGCAAGTTCAAGATGGAATCGTTTTGAGGTCCTTTTGCAATTTTTATAATCACTACCATGTATATGCAACTTAAAAGTTAAAATATTTTCCCAAATCATTGCAATTTTGATCGCAGAGAAGGCCAATGTTTTACGATCCAAACTCTTTTCGAAAATATGCAGGCTCCATTTTGTGACGTCATTCCAGAATGTCGATCCCGATTTTTCATCTCATCGCCTGAATGATAAATTTACTTTGCTTGGCAAAATTTTGTAAGATTGTAATGTCTCTATTTCACTCTTGAAATTCCTTCCAATGACTCTAAATTAATGTTGTATATATGTTATTCCTTTGTTAATTTGTTACCTTTTCATTGTTGATTTATTTCTTTTTGTACTTTTATGCCTCATGTGAGGCCATATTTAAAGTGAAATAAAATGTTTCATGTTTCATGAATACTGCAGCGAAAAAGCCCCAATCAGAATCGATTTGAATTTTAAAAAAATGATTTCGAATTTTATGATATTTGACATTTGTCTTTATATATGTGCAAGATAATTATGGAAAAATACACTATAAAGTCACCGGCGTTTAATTAAAGCACGCGTACTGTGAATATAAAATGAACCATGGCTGTGTTAGAATTAGGCAGGAGCCTGCGAATCAGACTGAGGGTGAGGTTGAAGAAGAAGATGAAGTAGTAGAAGATGAAGTTGTTGAAGAAGCAGACGATAATCAGCCTTCCATAGATGAAGATGAACCAAATCACGATAACCCAGTTCCCGCTCCGCGGAAGTCGGCAAGACAGAGAAAGGTTCCAGAATGGACCAAGGACTATGTTATGATGACACAAGGTCAACCAGAACCAGACTGGCTACGTAGAGCCAACTTTGTAAAAGAGATGATGAAGGATGGATTATTACAGAGTGTGGACTCTAATTTGTGCCAGATGACTCTTTTAAATATTGTGTCATCATCTCAGTAATGTGTTTTTAATATTTGTACATATCTGTTATTTTATGCCGTAAACTTCACCGTTGAATGACGTGGACGTCATTCTGCAACCAGGGGGAGGTTGTAGTAGTGTGGAATATATTTAATAAATAAATGTTTTAAATTAAATGTAAATAAATTAAACTACCATAATAGATAAAATGTTGGATCCACCCCTTTATTTCCCTAGCCCTACCTGTAAACTTGTACACCTGTATATAGATAATTAGTTACCTTAGGGCAGGTCAGAGGTTTTGGTGTTTTATTGGTTTTCATTGGTAGTTTGTTTATAAAGTTGGATCTCATTGGTTTTATTCTTTTGGTCATTGGTTTTACCGCCAAAATATTCATTCTTTGTCTTGTTGAGAGATTACCAAGACTTCATTTTATGGACTCTCTCATGACCTTGACTTGGAGACTGACTTTTTTTCCACTTTTGGTAAGTACTAACTTTTCTTTATTGCTAATAGTTAATTAACTTGTGCAGTCTGTAAATATGCAATTATAATAAATCCCTTCTACACTTTATATTAATAGAATGAATGACCATGAGAGAAAGATATTTATTTTTATGATTGGAATTATTGATTTTGAAGATCAGTAATGTTATATATTGAAAGTGTAAATTGTTATGTTCAAATTACACTATATATTTTATGACCAAGATATTTGGTTACTTTGTTCAAAGTGAACAGATGATTTTTTTTATTTTAATGGAATATATATTTTAATGTATACTGTATTAAATTACAGAATCCATATACATGTTTATGACATCATACATACATGTGGTAATTAAAGCCTTTTCCCACAGAATGGTGAGGAACTATTTGTTTTAATTAGTAATATTTTTTTATGCCTTTATATGGGAGAAAATATGTAAAGTCTATGTATCAGTTGTAAGAGTTATCTCCCTTAATTGAGAGTCAATGTACATATAAAGATACATCTTGTCTATAATATATCATTATCAATATGTTATCTATGAGAGCTAGATGTATGTATAAATGATGCATTAATAGGATTGATTTGATGTGATATAATATTGTTGTTTTATTATATTTCAGGGCTATGTTAATATATACTGCTCACTGTGTCAATAAAATAGACCTGAACCTGACAGAGGCGTGCTTGTTTATTTACACAAATCCCTGTTACAACACTAACAAAAAAAATGTTTTGTGGACTTTGAAAAAAATTTAACATATAAATATGTACATATTGATTTTTTTCTAGTTCTTTTTCAAGATAGGGTAGCTGCCATATTTCTCCAGGGAAAATGTTCACGGACAATGAAGTATATTATTATTAATGAACTGAAATAAATTGTTTAACTTAAATATTTGAAAAATACATACAAAAAATATTTTCAATTACTTTATCTTAGTCTTTTTGTGTCCCAAATCAGGGAGTTTAATTTATATTCTCTGCCCCGATGGATTTGCTGTGTCAGTAGAAGATAAAAAAAAAAGTCCATATTCTTTCAAGTTAATACCGTCTGCTCTAAGTTGTTAATTCTAAGTACTGAAGTATACATTAAATATTTGTTCTCACTGTAATAAGAATTGTTATATCTAATTTAATGATATTATTAATTCAATGTCGAAGCGAGCAATGATCATCGTGTTCCTAAATTGAATCGAAGAGAGCAATAATTCAATTATTGTACACATTTAAGTTATTGCTCTCGTCAGTTGACATTATTGCGAGCATACATGTATCAATAGTACTACGGGAGCCGGTTGGTGCCAGGTAGAAAAATATTTTATCTGGCGGCCACCACATAAATAACTGGCGGCCGCCAGAAAGTTATCTGGCGGCCGCCACATAATTATCTGGCGGCCGCCAGAAATTATGTGGCGGCCGCCAGATAACTTTCTGGCGGCCGCCAGATAAGTTATCTGACGGCCGCCACATCTTTTTATCTGGCGGCCGCCAGATAGGTTTCTGGCGGCCGCCAGATAAAATATTTTTCTACCTGGCACCTACCGGCTTCCGTACAATTCAATATTGTTGATATCATTTAATTCATTTGAAGAGAGCAACAACTCAATATTTTGCGCGCATCAATTCAGCAGATGAATTAACGATACCAACAATAGATCTTAATTAATTAATGCGTATGTAATAATTCAAAATTGAAGATATCATTAACAATATATTTGATGAATGTTGCGTCCATCAAATGCATGGCCGTAGGAACGGGGGGGGGGGGGACGAGGGGGCCGTGCTTCCAATAATTTTGCCGATATATATGGATGACTATAGAAAATAGAGCTACTATATGCTTGTGTTGTGCCCCCTCAATAAATACGTCTGATGACCTTTTTTTTTTTTTTTGGCTTGTCAAGGAATTTTTGGAAGTCGATAGTGCCCCCTCAACTGAAAATGTATGGCTGTGCCCCCCCCCCCCTCCCCAAACTGAAATTGCTTCCTACGGGCCTGAAATGGATTGATGATATCTTTACAATAATTAAAGATCTTTTCAATTATTTGAGTTTCTGTTAATTTGGGTTTCCATAGGCTTAGCTTGTATATAGACTAGTATAGGTCTAGTGTACTGATTCTTTTTATCGATAGTAAATTGAATTATAGATTTATATCATGTATCTGGCTACACTTCTATCTATAAGCAATACATTAGTGCATTTCTTCAAATGGGTTTCGATCCTTAGGGAGAGGATAAAATGAATGAGGTTTTTGCTGTGTATGGAAAGATAATTAATATTACATAAGATTTTGTTTTTCTTCAAGTTTGAAGTCTACTTGTAGCAATACTCTCCCGAGAGTTAACAAGTTTACAGTCCTTGAATATACTGCAGTAAGTTACCGAGAATCCTAACTTGAAATATATTAATAGTAAATACCCACAGGCACTTGTTTCCGTAATAAATTTTTAACCCATAGTACAATGATGTACCGCTATGGGTTAAAAATTTATTACGGAAACAAGTGCCTGTGTATATACCACAGGTATCTCGATAATATCAATGTTATTAATGTTAGTATTGATCAAAGAAACTAACTACAGCAAGGCCGTATCGACAGGTTTCTAAAAACGGGTTGCTGGAATTAAGGGGGTGGGGGTGGGGGGTCTGAAAGGGGTATCCTCTACTGAGCAAAAAAAAAATTAAATTAATAAATGGTTGCATTTAGGTGGATTCTGGTGCATTCTTAAAGCCATTTTTCTTAAAACTATAACGATAATAATTAGGCGTTAGGAGCCCAGAGAAAACATCCGGAAAAAATTCTTCCTCGTTTCAGGTTTTGTGTCGTTCGCTGATACTCAACATGGCGGCTCCTCCACAAGAATCTGCACAAGGTGTGAACAAAGCTTTATCACATGATATTCTTGTTTAAACATTGCGAGTTACGACGAATTTTCAATATCAACAATCTGTCATATTTTGAGAATATGAAATATCCGTTTTCGTGAGGTGCATGGTAGAATAAGGACACCTGGCCTTGGTTACGGTGTCGGTGCTTCCTTGTAGAGCTGACACATTCATTCATTCTTAAGTAAATCCACTTGAGTTTTGATATATCTCATTGCTTTTCGGCAAGCATATTTTTTTTTAAAAAGTTAATTTGACATCAGCTTTCATATTCAGAATTCTACTTATTCACTCGATTGCATTTGAACTGTTGTAAGATTAAGTCATGGTAAGTGGTGTCAATATATTACCAAACAGAGTAGAATATAACAATAAAAATGATACTAATTAAGATGCTAAAAATTGCAATGGATGTCAGACTTGTGTTTGTTGTCCCGAAGTCTGTCAGAGTAGATTTAGGAGACAGTATCTATTGCTGAATTTTTGTTTCATTATTACTATTTTTTTGAATGAAAATACTCATTTATCATTTGTTGAAATGTCAACAAAGTGATTTGATTATTGAAGCTATACCATAACCCAGAAAATGGATCTGACATTCTCCAAATTCGTAATAAGTTGGGGTGTTAAATCAATGAATTTTAATACCCTGTTCACACGGAGAGTTTAATTCGAATTAAACGTAAGTTACTGCGAATTAAATTTGATCCGCGTTCACACGGAGACTTTAATGCGAATTAGTTTAATTCGAATTAGTTTACTGCGCATTAAATTACTTCGCATCAGCTCCGTGTGAACGCTAAGCGAAGCTAATTCGAATTAAATTTTGATGCATGCGTAAGGGCAGAATTAAGTCACAGGTCACATGCCGATGGTCAAATATAGGTACTTGAATTATTTTTGAGTGGAAAACAAAGGAAAATTATGTTAATCACTAAAATGTGTACAGACACTACATATTGTATCTGCTCTGCACAATATGACGTGATTTGTAAATGACGTCATAATAGCCTCACTGAATAGCTTGTTGTAGAAATAAAATTATAATTCGCATTAGTTTACTTCGCATTGGCTGTCGTGTGAACGCAATTTAATTCGCATTAGTTTAATTCAAATCATTTTACTTCGCATTAATTTACTGCAAATTAAACTCTCCGTGTGAACAGGGCATAACAATCACAAGTGGCACAAATTCAAATGTTTTCTTTGAACCAGTTCCATTACATTTGACATTTAGTGTCCTGCCTATTTTGTATAAAAGTAAAATTTGATAGGAATATTTTTGGGGGGGAAAAAAACATACATATAGGCATAAAAGTTTTTAAAATATTTCTTAGCATCGAATTGGTAGAAACTTTCTAATGTTTATTTAATAATGGTCATAGTACTTATTCGATATGAATGTGAAAACATGATTTTAGTTAACAATTAAATTTTAGTTGTCTTTAGAGATTTGATAGGCATGTTCCCTCTCCTACTTCAATATAATTCCATGAATGATTTTAAAAGTTCAGAAATTCTTTAAAAATGGAAATCTAAATATTTCAGCTTAGAGATGCAAATCTTGATGTACAATTATCTCTATTTTCATAAAAGAAAATACTCAGGGTTCATATTATGTTTCAGGGCAGATCAATGAATTTGGGTGGGAGCATGAAATTTCCTTTAGAGGCAGGGGGTCATACTTGCCCTAAGGGATCATTATGATCATAGGATATGTCATAACCCTGAATAAAGGCAGTGATTCATTTTGAAAATGGTTATCATGGGTCCAAAGGACCCCTCTTAATGACAACAATGAGTCCCGTGCCAAAGTCAATGCGTCCAAATCCAAGGGTACCGTATATTAGATATCACAGAGGAAATTCTGGTGAAATAAAAAAGGGTATTGCGCGAAAGTGTAGTTGTGAGTGATTTATACTTTTACTATTAATTGTCCAAGTAAGAGTACATGATATTGTGTCATAAAAATAATATATTGTCCACTGTGTACTTTGGTTCTATTTTCAGATCGTACATACGATCTCACACAAAATGCACAGAAGCAGAATGAAGTAAAAAAAAAGTTTAAGAAGAAATAACAAATGGTCAGAAATAAAAATGATTGAATTTTATACTTCTTAGCTTGTAAGGAAAAAAAACGAAAAGAAAATAAAACAATGATACAGGTTACAGCTTACATACAAAGGTATAGTATTCGCTTCAGAAACGTTCCAAGGTATACACATAATCAGTGATAATCGAACTATGCCATCTAACTTTCAAATATTTTCTGATAATTTTTGTTTAACTGCAGTTGTGAAATCTGACCTGTTGTTGGCAACCTTATACCTGTTAAAATCGTTCATGCATATCGCTTAGCACGTCCATATGATGCAATCGGTAACGTTTTGAATCAGATTATACCGAAATATTTAAAATAGTACATGTCCTTCGGGTACCTGTAAAATGCGAAACGAAATAGAAACGAAACGGAACGAAATGAAACGAAACGAAATCTACCAAAACGAAACGAAATCTTACGAAACGAAATGAAACCTACCGAAACGAAACAAATCAAAACGAAACTTACCGAAACGAAACGAAACCTACCGAAACGAAACGAAAACTAAAGAAACAAAAAACGAAATAAAATCGAGCAAAAATGAAATATATATATACATATATATATAAACATTATGATTTAAAATATATTATATAGTGTATATTTTATGAGTAACGAGTCTCTTTTGATACGCAGTGAAAGATAAAAAAGATTTTGTGCGTTTCTAAACGTGAACATTTGTAAGTATGGATTACACTTTTAAATAGATATTGCTCATTATAGTGCAAAACAAACACATTAGACTAGTAAGCCTATACATATAATCCAAGTTATCACTTTTGGGTTCTTGTTAATACAATCCATTTGTACGTATACTTGTATACTCAAAATCAGATTTTAAGACCTGGCGATTCTTGGTCTGCTTTTGTCCAACACCAAACTATATCAGATCACACACTTTTAAAACAGTAATTTAAAAGCGAAGGATAAGAATTTTTTTTAAAAAAAATAATACGTAAAAATTGCAACATCAAATTTAGATTAAATTCAAAGCATACATTTATCGAAATTAAAATTTAATTTTTATCAAATCATTTAAACAAGCCTTGAAACCACCAGAGGAGGGGGAGGGGGGGTCCTTCTTGGAACTATCTCTCAAATAAAAAAAAGGGCTGGACCCGACAATAATCAAAAGTATAATAATAAGGCTTTGTATAATTGATCACATATGTATAAATAACAGTAATGCACTTTATTTCATTTAACTCAATGTGTACAGTTTGTTTTTTTTTAAAGTTATGTTTAAAGACATTCGCAATACAACAGTACAGTAACTTTATTTCGATACGTAAATAGAAAAGCTTTTACATGTAGCACATCAATTATGAGAAATTTATTGTATTTCAATGGTTAAAGGCTAAAAATAAAAGTAAGACATAAAAATTAGAGAATACTACGCTTATTTTGAAATGAGTATTTTGAAATTATATAGTATGCTCGTGCATATTTGTAGCTGGCAGTTGATTTACAGTATATATAAGCATGTATAAGTAAATACATCACTAGAGAAGGGAGCATTTATCGGTGTTTAAATATTATATTAACAAGTGCTTGAATTATATAAATTTTATATGAAGTAAAAATAGTTCATATACAGTTACACATTATATATAATGATATACCTTGATTTGAAAAAACATTCTGTTTCGTTTCGGTAGGTATCATTTTGAGTTCGTTTCGTTTTGTTTCGTTTCGGTAGGTTTCGTTTCTATTTCGTTTCGCATTTTACAGGTTCCCGTTTCGTTTCGGTAGATTTCGTTTCGTTTCATTTCGTTTTGTTTCGTTTCGTTTCTATTTCGTTTCGCACTTTACAGGTACCCCATGTCCTTCTATAAATTTATTGCGTCCATTGGGATGCACATTTATTGAAATAATGCGTCCTGAGCAAAATTTGTGCGTAATTTACGCAGGACGCACACCAAAATGAATCACTGTTTAAAGGTCATTAAGACAAGGTCACACACTTCAGATAATATATTTTACTCTCAACACAAAGATAAGTGTTTCCAACTTCAACCAAACAAGATTTAAGCCATGAAAATTTGCAGCATATTATAATTTTTTAGCAAGATATCAAAGTTTGTCTTTAAGCTACTTTTAATGTAGCCCCTTGGAGGCATTAGTCCCATTATTTTTTTTTTCACTCAATACACACACTGTATCATCTTAATTTGCAAGTCCAACACTTTTGAAGAAAAAAAAAAAGAATGTTTTTTTTTTTTATTTCTACCTGTGCATGTACTTAATTTCAAACAAGTACCGGGTATGTTACTTGCTGACCTGCAATATATAGTTACTGTAATTTATACATGTTAATTTCAGTTCCAAGAAACTTTAAGCTGTTAGATGAACTTGAACAAGGACAGAAAGGAACAGGAGATGGCAGTATAAGCTGGGGTCTAGATAATGATGATGATATGAGTCTAACATACTGGAATGGAATGGTTTTAGGTCCCCCTAGGGTAAGCAAAGACCAAGAGGCTTGAAAAATCAGTTATGGGTAGCCACTGCAAGCCATAATGCAACTGCAGCATCAGTACATGTAATACTATGTCATCCAGATTCTATTTTTTATTAATTGTATGGGGTATACTGTGAAAATTCCCCACTTAATTTTCATGAATGGAAGAAAGTTAAAGTAATAAATGAGTTAACCTGACCACTTTTATACTGTCAAATTTCTTTTGATAATAGACTGTTTACAGTAATGATTATTACTTGAATTTCAGACACCTTTTGAAAGTAGGATTTATTCCTTAAAGATAGAATGTGGGCCTCAGTATCCAGATCGACCTCCCTCTGTGAGGTTTGCCACTAGGATTAAAATGATGTGTGTAAACGAATCTACTGGAGTAGTAAGTTTTTATCTATCATATTTTAAATTCTGTTGTTATTTTTTTCGTAAGGCAGCAATGTGTTGATGGGACAATGATTGATTATAATCAAAAATTGATTGGCTTATCCTTTCTGATTCTGGTTATTGATTTCAAAATTCTGTAACAGAAAGTTGCTATCAGAGCCAGAAATACAAATGGTGAATTATGAAGACCAAGTCATTTTTGTATTGTAGTTTTTTTTTCAAAATGGCAAGCTTGAACAAACATGATGGTGACACCGGTATTTTGATTTACAGTCAAAAGCAGTATAAATCCTCATTTTTCCCCTCAGATTTGTTAGTTTCTGAAGGAAACAGGAGCTGATTCTTTTTCTTAAGTGAAAAAGATGACAGAATACCAAAGTGTTTTAATGTATTACATGTAAACGTATTATAATGTATTCAGAAGAATAATAGTATAGAAAGTGAAGTGCAGTAAAGTCTGACAGCTGTATTTGTATTTACCAGGTAGTGCTGATTCAAGATAGGGTGGGACCAAAATGGGGGGGGGTTAAAGTTTTATGTAAATTCCCATTGAATTTTCCAAAGAATGTGCAACTGATACCATCATTTTTTAAAAGATGTTTGTATATGTGTTATACTCACACATTTATGTGTTCAAAGTTGAAAAACTGCATATATTCCACTGGATATTGTTTAGAATAATTAATAATAACAAAAAAATATATAGGCCACTGCTTTTTTTGAGATATCAGACAAAGATAAATAGAAGTACATGTATCTATTAGGATAAGAAATCTTTCATTTTTGGTACATAGCATTATCAAAATCACTCCCCCCCCCCCCCCCCCCCCCCCCCCACACACACACACACACAAAAAAAAGTCCAATTGACATGATTTTAATAAAGAACATTCCAAATAATTGTAACTTTTAAAATGTGTATAAATTATGGATATGAAGGAAACCAATTCACAATAACATATAATTAAAAAAAATGCCAGAAATGAAGATTCATGGTAAGAGTTATTGCCCTTTGCATTCTTTTTTTTAGTAAAGAATAAATGATTAATTATAGTAAATATTATTTTTTAATTCTTTTATTAAACAATATTTTTCATTACATCTTTTTAAAAAAAACATTTTTCCAAAAGATTTATTGTTATTGAGCACAGACGTAAATTAATGAAAGATTTTGCAAAAACCTATGACACAAGGGTGGAATTATCTTAAAATCATTTCATTTTGATCATGTTTGAATAAAATTGTTAAAGCTCCATTACCAGCATGTACAGTACTAAAACTAGGGTATATGTTCTGTGTCTGATCATTCACACCGAGGATTATTTAAATATGTTGAATGCTTTGAATGCGTCTTCTTTCAGATTGATACAAAAAAACTAGATAGTATGAGAAATTGGAAT